AAAATACTTCTTACTTTATAATCGTGATATTATTAATAATAATAATTAAAAATAACAATGATAAAACTGGTCAAACTTGTTTCGTCAATGATTACCTAATAATAACGATAACGAAAAACCAATAATTTATTATGTCAAATTTTTTTATTATGATTTTCGAATGACATGCACGATTCTTAATTCATCACGTGTAACCGAAGAAGGAATAAAAAATAATAAAAAAAAAAAAAAAGAAAAATGAAAATAGATGACTTAAGGATGACTTAAGAAAAAAAAAACAAATAAAATAAAATTTATGCATATCATTCTTCACTAACTATATCTGACTACACCTACATAGTGTGTGTGTGTGTGTGTGTGTGTGTATGCACACATTTAACATTGAGTGTTTCACGTTTCAATCTTTTGTTATTAACGTGAAGGAAAATGTAATCTTCGTAGTTGCAATAAAAATTGTTGACTTCGAGAGATAGGAGGAGTAGACACTAATAATAGTAGTAGTTACTCATGCAATAATCTATATATCTTTATAAAAACGTGTATGTGTATGTGTATGTGTGTGTTTATGTTTGTTTGGTCGTTTATTCGTATTCAATGTTACTTTTTGGATTTTGTAGATTACATTTTTATTTTTTTACACGATTTTTTTTCGAGTTAAATATTGTGGTTTGTTTGTTTTTTTTTCTTAAATTATTAATATTTATTTTGTAAGTGATACTTAAGAATTGTTTAACAATGTTTAATAATAATAATAATAATAATAATAATAAACAAAAGATATTCACTGTTACTTTCTAGATTTAGTAGACTAAATTTTTATTTTATATTAAAACATTTGTTAAACTATTCTTCGAATAATAATTCGAGATAAATATTCGTTGCATCTTTGTTTTCATTTAAATTATTAATAATTATTTTGTAACAAATTTAAAAGAAAAATGTTAAAGATAAATTATGATAAAAAAAAAAAATAAATAATGATAATCAGTGTTATTATTATCAAGTTCCAGTGAGTTTTATAATATGAATGATACTTAAGAATTCTTTGACAAAGTTTAGTAATAATGATAATAATAATAATGATAATAATAATAATAATAAACAAAAGATATCGAGAAACTTGAAACGATATTATTCTTGATGTTTGAAGAAGTAATCGTTAAGTATATTGGTGGCCTATAAAAGCAGTAGCAGAAAACCGCATTGCGTCAAGTAACATTATGAAATTCGTTTTAGTTTTTAAATTATTATACCGAAATGATATTGTTCAATTGTTGAGAAAATCTAAATCATTTTATTCCCATAATATATATTTCAATGCAGCAAATATTATAACCGCATTGCGTCATTTAATAATAATATTTGAATTTCATTTCGGGTTTAATGTTATACTATCTACAAATGAATAAATGTAAAATGTTCTATTTGTACAAACAACGTGTGGAATGTAAATAATTTTATTGCTACAATTTGTCTCCTTTTGCAAATATTAAACACCGCATTGAAATAATTATAATATTGGTTTCGATTGTAATTTTTTAATTTTTTTAATTTATATTTTCGATTTTTCTTTTTTTTTTTTTTACGAATATAGAAACATCATTTATAGGATTAATATATAATAAAATATTAATATATAATAAATAAACACATATATTTTTTAAGTTTAAATATATATTTAAAAACACATTAATTTTTAAAATTTAAATTTAAATATATATATTATATAATATATATTTAAAAACACACATATTTTTTAAATTTAAATATATACAATATAAAATATATATTTAAAAAAATTAATAATAAAATATATTATTATTTCTTTTTACATGTGTACGAATCCAAAGAATGTTTTTTTTCCTTCTTTTTTTTTTTCTTTTTACCTAATCAGCTAACAAGTTGATTTCTTTCTTTTTTTTTTTTTATTTTACATAAAATTAACTTTAAAAATACGTCGAATAATAATAATTTAATACAATTTATATCTTTCGATTCGTACGAAGATGTTTCAAAATAGAATATTGCATAAATGGTGACTAATTGATCGAATATAATTCAAAACAGAAAAAAAAAAGAAAAGAAAAAGAAAGCTTAACTCGAAACGTGCAATGATTTGTAAATATTTAAAATCAACGTTAATTCGAATAACAAGTTTATGATACATATGTTTATTTCATGGGATCAACCAGTTTACTTTAATCAAGTTTTTTCTTTTGAATATAATCTGGCAATTAGAAACATTTCAAGAAGACGTTTTGAAACAACCTTGAAGCTGTTTCTGAGTTGTTTATTTCTTCTCTCTTAATATTACGAATTGTACGATCGGATGAAATTGACTTTGATTTAAATCAAGATTTTTTTTCTTACATTTTCTTTTTCCTCTTTTTTTTTTTTTAAATCTTTTTTTTCTTGTTTTTTATTTCTAATATAAGAGTATTCCAATGTACGTAATCTTCCTACCAATGTAGTTTCATTTTTTTTTCCTATCTTAATTATCTTTACTTAATCCATTACATTATTATTGTTCGATGAATATTTTTCAAATTATTTTATTTCTTTTCAAACAAAATTAAAAAGAAAAAAAGGAAAAAAATTAAAAGAAACAAAAATATGTAATAATATCAAAATAAAATCGTATGTTATAATAATTGTCGCGTGCTAATAATTGAATACCTGAAAAAAAAAAAAAAATAAACAATAAAAAAATTCTCTCTTTTTTTTCTATTGGAAGAAACAAAACGAAATTACATATTTTAATAAAGATTAATTTTCCTCTTTTCTCAGATTAATACGTATCTTTTAAAAATGAAAAAATAATTGTATTAAAAATAACAAAAATATTGTTCGTATAAATTTCCGCATATTTCAAATTACAAACAGTAGTTCAAAAAATAAGAGAGAAAATAACTAAACGTATCTAGAATTAGATGTCCTTACGAATAATATTCTGTCATTTGGCAAGGTATCGTTCGGCGTCGGTTAGTCATTTTGACGCGTTAATGTTTCATAAGCTTTGCCAAGTTAATCGTTTAGTATTACTGACCTTCAATCGATCGATTCAAGTATTATTGTGACATTACATCGAATACTTTTATTTAAATTATAAAATTAAAATATATAAATTACCATTTCTATTTCTACATATGTACCGTACGTATCTATTACATATGTTATTACGTATGTATTCATTTATATATGTATGTAAATTTATTTAAGGTGAGAGGTGCGAGGTGAACATACTCCCAGTTCAATCCTACTAATAAGATTTATTTAAAAGAGGTATTAGAAAAATTACAATATTAGTTTCACAATCTTACGGTTACAACTTAGATAAGCGACTGTATTCTTACAACTGATAACGACTTATAATACAACTGCGACTGTTATGACTGATGACTAACTACGGCTACGACTATGACTACTACTGCAACTGCTACTACGACTACTGCTGTGACTACTGCTAACTTCTTATTTCTTTCCACGTCTTTTATATCACAAATGACCTACACCCCTTTTTTGAGAGGGAAGGAGCTTACGAATCTTATTGACCAATAGCATAAGGATCCACCTGTCTACCGACAGGTACAGTCTATGGTTTTCGGTAGTGGGAACTATGCATAAAGAAACTTAATCTAGAACATTGGAATGTTACCCTTTTTATGGTATCGCATATGTTTACATAGGTATCTGAAATTCTTCAAAGGGTCCCGACACTGCACACATGGTTTTTTTATTGCACCAATATATACTGATAATCCTTAAGGTTCGTTTATGGTTTTATGGCCTACCTGATCTTTTCTTTTAGTCCCTGAATAGAGTTTTCCTTTCCAAAAAATAAGATATAAAGAAAGGACTGAATACTAGTTTTTTTGTCTACATCTGCTACACTTAAAACTCTCCTACATGTATGTATACATATACGTGTGTAATATACATATATATGCATCCAATTGATTCGAGAATACTTGTTACAAATTTTGAATATGAAACGAACGTTTCATGCTTCGTTTTACTCGTTAATGAACTCTTCAAAATCATCGTTAGGTGTTTCTTTTTTTTCTCTCTTAATTGGCCAATTGCAATTATTGTTAATCGATATCGAATCTCGTAGAAAAGATATTTTACTAATTTTACAAATTACAATACATTTTCGTACTTTGTTCTTATTACTTATTACTTATTATTTATTACAAATAAATTGTATAATAATTCATAATAATAATAATAATAATAATAATAATAATAATATATATTTAATAATTTATAATAATTAATAATTTTTTTGAAAAAGATCAAATGTTTTATGTATTATATTCTAATTATTTAATTAGAATTTGTTTAATTATATTCTTATCGCATTGTATTGATTTTCTATATAAAATAATTGAATTTATTTTATTTTATTAATTCATCTCCATTATTATCTTCATTTTTATTTTCTATTATGTTTCGTTTTATTTGATTACAGACTTTGATAAACACTGTTTTCATCGTCAACAATTATATTCTATCGCATTGTATTGATTTTCTATATAAAATAATTGAATTTATTTTATTTTATTAATGCATCTAATCGTAAATTCTTTTCTCTTCTATTGTAATTGTTTGTTTATTTGATTACAGACATTGATAAACATGGTTTTCATCGTCAACAATTACATTCTATCGCATTGTATTGATTTTCTATATAAAATAATTGAATTTATTTTATTTTATTAATGGATCTCATCATAAATTTTTATTTTCTATTGTAATTGTTTGTTTATTTGATTACAGACATTGATAAACATGGCTTACTGCGTACTGATACTACTTGGAAAATCAGTACAAAAGTTAGTCTTTGGTGAACTGAGGGTTTCCGAGAGACAACATTTAAAAGACAAATTCTGGAACTTCGTCTTTTACAAATTTATATTCGTTTTTGGCGTACTCAATGTACAATACATGGACGAGGTCGTACTTTGGTGCGCATGGTTTACCGCTCTTGGATTTCTTAGCTTGCTCAGTCAACTTTGCAAGGATCGATTCGAATATGTGAGTATCGATAAAAATATTTTTTAATTGGTTAAAGGAAAAAAAAAAATTAAAAAGAAATAAATAACATTTCCGTCATTACCGAAGAATCTTCATCAAACGAACCAATAAAATTATTCTTGAAATAAAAAATAATGTTAAAACACACCCACACACACACACACACACACACACAAATAAGATATATATTTTTAATTGTTATAACGTTGAGCTTGTCAATAAATAAAACAAACGTTATAAACAACTTTTTTTTGCGTTCTCTCACAGAAACATACAAACACACACACACATAGAAATACGCACGAGTCCTTGAATTTTTCTTTTTAACGACATACGAAGCAAGTTTTTTTTTGTTTTTTTCTTTTTTATTCTTCGTTTATGTGTATGTATATAAGTATAGGAAAGTACACCATTAAAAGTAAGTTTCGCTCGATATAATAATAAACGTGCGTATAAAATTGTATGAGAGAGTTAAGCTAGCGTGTTACTACTCGCTTATATGTACATACATATATACATACTTGTACAAATAATTACACACATATGTAAATATATGTAATCTTATACTCGCGAACATTTTACGGTAAAAGACACAATCGCTTACGTGGATTAGATAACTTAGAAAGTCGAGTACTTGTCTGCCGTGTTTAGTTTCCTTGTTCATCGTATAATTGGAAAATTTCATTGTTCTATACGTTGTAATACAATTAAATAAAATACAAAAAAAAAAAATAATAATAAAATAGAGAAATAAATTTATATTATTGAAATACGATCAATCGATTTTATCGTAACATTCGTTCAATGTTCTATGAAATATAATATAATAAAAAATAATAATAATATATATATATAATAGTAATAATATAATAAAATATAATATAATATAATAATAAAATTTAAATTTTAATTATGTTATTAATAAATTTATCGATAAAATAATATATATTTGTATTATTATATATTTCAAAATTAATAAATATATATGTATATATTTATTATAAATTATTTAATTTAATAATAATTTATAAAGTAACATAAACAAATTTATTTTTTAATAATATAATATAAATATAATACATATTTTATATAATAAATATTAATTATAAAGTATAATTATAATAAAAATATAAAATAAATATATATTTTAATTATAAATATTAAAAAATATTATTATATTAATAATAATTAATA